TGAAGGGGATAAGGATAGGACTAAAGCTGGAACGGAAGTAAAAATTAGGATGTTTTGGTGGGGCTTGATATAACTTGGAAGATATCAGCACAAGGGCTCTATGGAAGGGTCACCAGACGTCGAATCCCAGGGGGTCGGCCTTGGAACGGATATCCTTCATCATAACAGTACTTGAATGCAGGATTGATGCCCAAGCTTTGATCAGGTCATGGCCCTTCAAATTTTATACGATTGAGATGCCTTTGCGTGCTCAATAGGAAAGAGTCGGCTCCTTTAGTAGCATCCATCGATAGTCCTACATTATTGTTGTTGCCGATAACCAATATCCTTTCGTCTACATGCGGGGGTGGTGTCGGTCCATCCATTTGGTGTGTACTGTGTCTAACTTGCATTTCTTCCGCGTCACCCTGCCACGAACTAATTTCTTCTCCTTTCATTCGTTGGAGAGCTCGTGGCATACTCAATCTATGATGACCTTTGACACCGAAAGAGGAGGTCGCGGTCGCATTGTTGGAGAATGTGACAGCGGTGCCGGGATTGGCGACGGTTCGTAGGTTGAGGTGAAACCGGCTCACGAGCGCCACCATCCTGCAAAACAGAAATATGTCAGACTAATGTTCAAGAGAGGGGCTGTAGACTCACATGGCGAACTCGAGTTGATTGGCCATGTACCATAGGGAACCAGGAGCGACCGCCCACTGTAGATTTGTTAGCAGCGTTATCCTAGATGACAAACAGATGAAAAGCTTACTACTAGGCACGTCATCAACCTCAAGTGCAGAATCACAACGAAGTAAACATATCCATCCTGATATAGGGTTCTAAGCAATGTAGTCGTGGGTAAATTCAGTCTCCGCCTCATGCGCATGTGTCGGAAATGGTGATAAATTTGTAGGCTAAACACATAAAGCTCGAGACTTATCTAGAAGAAGTAAAGAATATTAATACAAGGACATTTCATTGTGAAGGGATTGAGGTAAAGGACTGACTGGTATGAAGTAAGTCACTCCAATGATGGATACGGACTCTGCTCCGCATACTTTGACGGGAGCAAAGTACTTGATGCTGGCTAGTTTCACATGAGTCAACTAAGGGTCGGCGCACCATGTAAAATGACCTACGATATATCGCGTGTAGGGCAATTGCGGTTAAGATCCACGTGGTGATGTGGGCCGAGAAATAGAAAATATAGATAGAGTATATGATGAACTTGTGTTGATTGAATAGACTAATGACTCGTAGCGAGAGGAGCCAGGTTGAGATTGCTAGACAGATGCCTAGTAGGATCCCGAAATTCAGTACCTTATACCGCCAATAGAACCCAGGACTTACCCATTGACATGGCAGTTGAGATGACTTCAGTTTGGCAGCTATTGAGAATGTTATTGTAGGTCCATGTGTTCACGATCGAAATTACTCACAACTAATAAACTGTCAGTCAGAAGCAGAGGATTGAGAAGAACGAGCTTACTTCATCTGAAACGGCATTTCGTAGGCCAGCAATATCTGAATGAAAAAGATTAACGAGTGTTCTTGCCAACGACCACAAGACCTTACGATAGTTGAACATGAGCAGGAAAGGTACCGGCAAGTATCGATTCTATTCATCAAATCATTAGCATCTTGTAATAGACATGGTCCATGGATTATGTATAGTTTGTAAACTTACTACGAGATACAAAATGGAGGAGAGCGACATCTTCTGCATCCAAATGACCTCGACTTCAGTCCCAATGGTCAAGCACCAGTCATAGAGCATGACGACCAAGCCCGCTCCGCAGGTAAATCGAGATGCATTCATGTTGGTAAAGGTCTCTATCAACTCGGCGATGAGTGCAGAGGGGACCTCTCTGGCGACGAGTCCCATGTGGCCGGTCACCATGTTTCAACGATGACCTTCTCGCCCTAAACGGATAATAAAGCAGATTGGGATTGTGATTTGTCGCTAGAAGTACTCGAACGACCTGGGCGAAAGTAAGGAGGCCAGAGAGGGGGTGGGGACAAGTTGTACCTAATCCACGCATTTCTTAGGTTGCCCTATTAATCGATGGTAGAGAATCCTCGGGACAGCGTAAAAGGGTCACTTATCGGGACGATGTGGAAGCTGTCTGGTGGTGACAGAGAAACTTGTCGACGACCTGTCACGTCAGGTACACCTTGGTTTGGAAAATCGATGAGGCTAAATTGAGACCGGTACCAGAGCAGAGAAACAGGGAAGAGAGTACTGTGTTGCGTGTCATGACTGTGACAAGTGTTTCGTCCTTTGAAAATTCACTGTTCGTCTGCAAAGCTGCACACTAGAACGATGAATCTATGGAGAGGGGACCAGAAGCACCGAAGAGCTTAATTTCTTCGAATCACGGGTGCACTCAGAGGCTAAATCAATTATTTGTGGATGGCGAGCCATAGGCCGAGAAGTAAGGATTGGTCTAGGTTACGTCAACCAAATTGTGGTCGAGGAACAAAACGGCAAACGCCGCGGAATGTCGAGTTGGCGGCTAAAATAAACCATCACATCCGATATTTACGATCACAACCACCTCAAGGCTCGATAGTACAAACAAAGTGGTATCTATATGATAAGCATCAACAAACAAGCAATTATTACAACAACAATAATAGAGGTACAGTGTCCATGGCCAAGGCGTGGGCGAGACTCATCTCAGCGGCTCCTTTCCGTTGTTTACCATCCGGGTCTCATCATTCTGGACATCATCTTGGCCCACGACAAGCTCCACGACGGTCGGTCTCGTCAGCGGGAGCTCTGCTAATCCAATGGCGAGCTCAGGGAGTTCTTCTGGTTCATTTGGTTGGTGCCCATTAGGAGCGAACGATGTTGGTCGGGAGGATGAGGTCGGTATAGATGCAGAGGTAGGCCTTGAGGAAGAGGATGAGGAGGACGCCTGATTACTCAAGTCGAGCTTTCTCTGGGCCGAGGCCGCAGGGGACGGCATGGCGATAAGAACGCTAACGATTACTTCCTCTACATCCTTGAGCTCATCTTGCTTCTCCTCTGTAGCAATTTGCGGAAACAATTGTGGGTCATTTCGTGCAGTGTCACTCGTTGGATCGGGACGTCCTTGGAGCTGGTTCGCATGGGTACCTTGTGGCGGGTTCACAAACCAATAGTTGCGTATAGGGTCAACGATCTGATGCATCAGAGTGCGAGCGTGAGATGGAGAATTTCTTATCGTTGAAGCTGGCTCAGGATCAGAAGCGGGTTTAATTGCGGTCACTGCGGCGGGCTGTTTACCGTATCGCCACCGACAAAGCAACAGTCAAAACATGGTCAGTATTTTTGCACGTTGTTAATACAAGTCATAAAATATCTCACCTTTACGTCCCACTCGATGTTGTCAGGTCGTTTCTCTGCTGGAGCGAGGAATGCATCCCATATAATTGGCTTGGGTGGTAGAGGACCACCTCTTCTTCGAGAGTCTGCCGCAAATGAGAGGGGTGTTCCATCATCGCTATACCCTGGAACATAGAGTCCTCTTGCAATTGCCTCGTCGATTCGTGCTCGTAGTATGCGGCGAGTGTAGTAGCCCCTATACGAGATAAAGTAGTCGCCGTCGACGATAGGAATAGCCGATAATGTATTTGATGCAAACAAGAATAGACAAAGTCGTGCTTAGCAAGACACCCGATGCAAATGGAGGGTGCTATAAACACTTACCGCCAGGCTACAGCGACCGAGACAAGAAATATGAGCACAAGAGTGGCTAGGAATCCATATAAATAGACGCTGGGTCCATTCTCGAATGGGTCTGCATTTTGCCTTGGGTCTGGCGAAGGGAAGGGTGTAGGCGTGCTACCAGAAACCGATGATGATGCCGTGCTTATGAATGTCGAAGACATGAACTCTTGGAATAATTAAATTATGTCGAGATTATTGAAGAATTTGAGAAGAGGATTGAGAAACGATGTAGGAATGACGATGTGGTTGAACGCAAGGATGGCGGCGCGGCACCAAGAAGACGATCGCTGCTGTAAGCTTTCCGACGAGACCGCATCGCTTACTCCCACAGCTCTCCATAACCTTATCGAACCATGTAATCAAGTCTATTCTCAAAAAAGTACAAAGCCAACATTGTTCATGACGGGTAGCACTCGTGCCTTCTTCAGTCAAAGAATCTTCCACTGGTCATGACAGCGTACGCCATATTCCTCAGGAAGGCATTCCATCTACCTGACCCAGACGGCTGTCTTCCCTCCTCGAGCCGGTCGGTAGTGCTCCTTTCAGTCAGATTTGCTTCGCGCGGGATGCTCGCAGATCTCGGAGCCGTACGACGGTGTAATCTACGCCGCGGTCTTGAGGTGAGGTTGGTGCCGGCACAGACTCGACAGTGTGCGCATTCGTAAACGTCGGTATCTCTGGGTGAGAGACTATTGCACTCTCCAAACTCG